GTGACCAGGCTCAGAAGGAGACTGATTTCATTGGGTATTTGAACATTCTTTGAACTTTGTAAAGGTATTCTTCTTCTTTTTTTTTTGGTCTGGACTTTGGACCTGGGCGCTATCCCTCAGCTCTTCAGCTCAAGGCTAGCGCTCTACCACTTGAGCCACAGCGCCACTTCTGGCTTTTTCTGCTTATGTAGTGCTGAGGAATCGAACCCAGGGCCTCATGCATGCAAGGCAAGCACTCTACCACTGAACCACCTTCCCAGCCCCAAGTTATTCTTTTTGAATATATGTACATATATGTATATGTATATTTATGCTGATAGTGGGGCTGGAACTAAAAAATCTGTCACATGCCCTTAGGTGTTTTGCTCAAGGGTGGTACCCTACCACTTAAGCCACATCTCCACTTCCAGCTTTTTACTAGTTAATTGGAGATAAAAATATCATGGACTTTCCTGCCCAGGCTGCCCTCAAATATCAGTCCTCCTGTGTAGCTAGGATTACAGGTGTGAGGCACCATGACTCAGTCTGATCACATTAAAAAAATAATAATAATATAAGCCTAGAGTCCACCAGAAGACTATTAAAACAATTCATTAAAGTTGCAGGACATGAAACCAACATAGAAAAATTAGTAAGGCTGGGTATGAGTGGCTTAGATCTGAGAATCACAGTTCTAAAGCAGCCAGGCAGGCAAGTTCAGGAAACTCTTATCTCTAATTAACCACCAAAAAACTGGAAGTAGAGCTGTGGCTCAAGGGGTAGAGCATTAGTTGTGAGCAAAAAAGCTTAGAAATAGTGGCCAGGCCCTGGGTTCAAGCCCCAGGACAGGCAACCCCCCCCCTCCCCCCGCCACCACACAATCAGTAGGATGAGTATACATAATACCAAGATTGCTGGAGAAGGAAATCATGAAAGCAATTCCAATCACATTTTTGAAATGTCTTTCCCTTGCCTCTGCCTCTGTAGTATACCATCAACCAAGTTCAGTTTCTAATAGGAAAGATCATCTCTAACAAGAATATTTCCAAGCTGGGCACTGGTGGCTCATGCCTGTAATCCTAGCTACTCAGGAGGCTGAGATCTGAGGATCACATTTCAAAGCCAGCCCGGGCAGGAAAGTTCATGAGACTCTTATCTCCAATTAACCACCAGAAGACTGAAAGTGGTGCTGTGGCTCAAGTGGTAGAGTTCTCACTTTGAGCTGAAGAGCTGAGAGACAGTTCAAGCCCCAAGACTGACAACAACAACAAAAAAGAGTATTTCCATACTGCTCAAATGGTTTGGCCCCACCAAAAGATGAATTGGAAAGAAGAGTCTGAAAAGCTTCCTTGGGGAAGAGAAGATTAAGGAAGAAGGTGATTGCCATGAAAGTTCTAGAACTTTTTTTTTTAATTCTGCTATTCTTAGGGTTTGAACTCAGGGCCTGGGTTCTATTCTTTAGTTTTTATTGCTCAAGGTTGGTGCTCTATCACTTGAGGCACAGCTCCACTTCTGTCTTTTTGGTGGTTAATTAGAGGTAAGAGTCTCATAAGACTTTCCTACCCCAGGCTGGCCTTGAAACACGATCCTCAAATCTCAGCTTCCTGAGAAGATAAGATTATAGGCATAACTATGGTCAATTGGCTCTAGCACTTTGGCAGAGCCCTGGGTGGCAAGGAAGAAGGGAGGGAGCAGGGAGCTCTTCACTGCTATAATGAAGCAAGCACTTGCAGTTATTTTTCCATGGACAAAATGTCCAGCCCTTCCTGGGATTCAGACTCCCGATGCTGTTCAATAGATGCACAGTTCAAGGTCCTGAATCTGAACTTTCTCACCACAGAGATAAGTCAGCCATTTCTACTGGCTAACAATGATTAATCCACCTCCACCTGTTTTTCCCAATATGTTTTTTCTAGCAAATGAGCTGGGTCATTCACTCTGAGTGTGATAGCAGTTGAACTGGCCAATGTCTATTTCTAAACACTTCACCTATTGATCACTTAGTATGCAGGAAAGAGGGGGAAAGAGACGGCAAAAGAAAGGAAAGAAGGAAGGAAGGAAAGAGTGTCACCCCCTAACGGGTAGCAGATATTTCTAGTCTTAGCATACCTGGATTTATTTATTTATTTATTTTGCCAGTCGTGGGCCTGAACTCTGGACCTGGGCACTGTCCCTCAGCTTTTCAGATCAAAGCTAGTGCTCTACTACTTGAGCCACCGCACCACTTCCGGCTTTTTTCTGCTTATGTGGTACTGAGGACTCGAACCCAGGGCCTCATACATGCAAGACAAGCGCTCTACCACTGAGCCACCTTCCCAGCCACCTTCCTAGAATTTTTTTTTTTATCAGACCTGGCACTCCTTATCAACACAAGCATTCTCCCCGCGTTCCTCAGAAGATAGGATCCTGCATTTGTTCACCACATGCTGAGCACATGACAGAACCTGACATAGAGATGCTGGCTCCTCACAGCCCTGCTGAGACCCAGACAGTGGCCTTTGGATATTTTGTCAGAAGAACTGCTCTGTTTGCCCTCAATTCGCCTCAGATCCTAGAAAACTCCAGTTTCAGGGATCACCACAGTAGTTACTCAATACTTTCTAAGGTGACTTGTCTGGTAGTGGGATGAAGATGTCTCTTCTGGTGGGGCCCACTACCTATGGCCCCAAAGCCCTGACAATGCAGAACACAGGTCTCACCTCCCACCACATAGCACATGCTTCCTCTGCAGCTCACCAAAGCCTCCTTTGCCTCCCCTGCTCTCTAGGCCAGGAGTGGTAGGAAGGTTGATTAGACCATCAGAGACAACATGGCTGATTGGAGTTAGCTTAAGCTAGTGGGGAGCCCACTGGGGTGGGGATGAGACTCTAGATCTTTTCTCCTGGACGATACTTTAACCATTTCCAGTAGGGAATGATGCAAACCTTTGCTACAAAGCCATGAGCTCTGTGTTTTGTGTTGGTTTATGCTGTCCTCAGCCAACCCCTTACAGATCAATATGAACTTCTGATGGGAAATTCAAGTGGGTTTCTCTGTGTGTGTGTGTGTGTGTATGTGTGTATGTGCTCACTCATGTACATGCACACTCATGAACACCAGTTCTGGGGCTTGAACTCAGGGCCCTTTGCTCACCCTTGGACTTTTTCACTCAGTACTGGTGCTCTACCATTTGAGCCACACCTCTATGTCCCACTTTGTGCTGGAAGTCTCATGGACTTCTCTGCCTGGGATGGCTTTGAACTTGATTCTCAGTGCTCTATATAGTTTTTTTTTTTTTTTTTTTTTTTGCCTGTCATGGGGCTTGAACTCTGGGCCTGGGCATTGTCCCTCAGCTCTTCAACTCAAGGCGAGCGCTCTACCACTTGAGCTACAGCGCCACTTTGAACTTGATTCTCAGATCTCAGTCTCCTGAGTAGCTAGGATTATTGCACCAGCTCAAATGGGTTTTAAAACATTTTATTGCCACTGGCTCCACCTTTAAAGATGCATTAGTTTGTCACCTAATTCATTTCCTTGCGCTCTTCTGCTGATTATAAAAACATGAATGAAGGAAAAACTCAAGATATTGAAACCCTTTCTCAAAAATTACTAAATTAAATTACTAAATTAAAATTACTAAAAAAATTTGTTTCCAGTCTCTAGTTACTAATTTTGAGTATTCTTACTCAGAAACATATGTTTAGCATTTTGTTGTTACAGTCTATTATTTAAAATCATGACTAAGTCAGATACTGGTGGTTCACACTTGTAATCCTAGCTACTCAGAAGGTTGAGAGATGAGGATCACGGTTCAAAGCCAGTCTTGGCAGGAAAGTCTGCAAGATTCTTATCTCCCATAAGCCAGCAAAATCCCAAAGTAGAAGAAGTAGAGATGTGGCTCAAGTGGTAGAGTATCAACCTTGAACTGAAAAAGCTAAGGTACAGTACCCTGACTCTGAGTTTAAGCCCCAACCAGCATGCAGAAATAAATAAATAAATAAGCCTGCTACTGGTCACTTATGCCTGTAATCCTAGCTACTGAGAAGGCCGAAATGACAACTCAAAGCCATTCTGGGAAGGGAAGTCCTTAAGACTTTTATCTTAAATTAACTACCCAAAAGGCCAAAGTAGAGTATGGCTCTAGTGGTAGAGTACCAGCATTGAGTGAAAATACTCAGGGACAGTGTCTAGGCCGAGTCAAGCCCCAGGACTGGCACAAAGTTAATTGATTAATTAATTAATTAAAACATTAAAAGAATAATATTATGAAGTAAAACCCCAAAGGTCTTAACTTTAAATCACTAAATAAATTAATCACCTCTTTTAGAAATGATTATGTTCTGGCCCTGACAGATATGGAGCCAATCCCAATTGATCTCCCAAACCAGAAGCCAACCCCAAACCCTAATGAGTTACAGAAGAACCAAAAAGCAACAGTTCCCAGTAAAACAGAACTTACTGCTATATATTTTCAACTAGCAACTGCAATTAGAACACAGAGGCTTTTCTTTATCCCCAAATAAGTGCCACTGTAGACTTAGAAAATCAGACACCTGGGCTGGGAAAGTGGCTCAGTGGTAGAGTGCTTGCCTTGCATGCATGAGGCCCTGGGTTCGATTCCTCAGCACCATATAAGCAGAAAAAGCCAGAAGTGGCACTGTGGCTCAAGTGGTAGAGTGCTTGCCTTGACCTGAAGAGCTGAGGGACAGCATCCAGGCCCCAAGTTCAAGCCCAAGGACTGGCAAACACACACACACACACACACACACACAAAGAAAAGAAAAGAAAAGAAATCAGACACCTTTGCAAGAACTGTAGTGGAATTAGACTCTGCCCCGTGTCTGGCCTGGTTTCAGGGACCAGGAGGGCAGCCCCATGCACCGTCACGCAGCATGCCCAAGTTAATAATTGGCCCTGCCGATCAGGCTGTTTTTGTATGCCCATTTTGCTATTTTACGTAAATCAACCTACTGATGATGTACCTTTGATCAATAGATTTTAGACAAAAGTATTTTTTGAGTCCAAAGATCAGGGCTGGGTTGACCTGCAGACTGGATACAAGGCATATAAAACAGGGGCAAGGCACAGACTGATCACAGAGCAATCATCACCAAGCCTGAAATAACTGCACTGATTCTGTTGGAAGCTTACTGAGGTAGTCAGGGAATAAGGATGGAGGAACGAATGAACGCTCTCCATGATTTTGGGATCCAGTCAACGCACTATCTCCAGGTGAATTACCAAGATTCCCAGGACTGGTTCATCTTGGTGTCTGTGATTGCTGACCTCAGGAATGCCTTCTATGTCCTCTTCCCCATTTGGTTCCATCTTCAAGAAGCCGTGGGCATCAAACTTCTCTGGGTAGCTGTGATTGGAGACTGGCTCAATCTTGTCTTTAAGTGGTAAGTACCACTTAAAGGTCAAGAAATGAAGCTAGGGGGCTGGGAAGGTGGCTCAGTGGTAGAGCGCTTGCCTCGCATGTTTGAGGCCCTGGGTTCAATTCCTCAGTACCACATAAGCAGAAAAAGCTAGAAGTGGCACTGTGGCTCAAGTGGTAGAGTGCTAACCTTGAGCTGAAGAGCTGAGGGACAGTGCCTAGGCCCAGAACTCAAGCTCCACAACTGACAAAAAAGAAAAAAGAATCAAGGCTAGTATTCTCTCTGGAAAGGTCGGTCCCTTAGTGGGCACACTTCCTATGTTACTCAGGAAGCCACAGGTCATTTCTCCCTTAATTTGGGATTCTCTACCTAGAGAAAGAAGACTGATAAAATCCTGTCAGTGAAAGTTAGAAACACAGGAAAGCTCATTTCATAGGAACTGAAGTGGTAGAAGGACAGCTGGATTTAGTGAAAAGTCTGAGTACAGGCCTGAAGCAAAGAATCTTAGTTTCAGCCAGCTGTTGGTGGCTCATTCCTATAATTCTAGCTACTCAGGAGGTTGAGAGCTGAGAATCCAGGCAGAAAAGTCCATGAGACTCTTATCTCCAACTAACCAGCAAGAAGCCAGAAATGGAGGTATGGCTCAAGTGGTAGAATGCCAGTCTGGAGCAAAAACCTAAGAGACAGTGTGTAGGACCCAAATTTACACCCTAGTACTGGCACACGTGCACACACACACACACACACACACACATACACACACACACATATACACAATTCATTAAACATTTAATATTTGCTGAGCTATGTGATTTTGCATGTATGGGGGGAGGGGAGTATATCCAATGTTGGAGATTTGCATATGCTAGAAAAAATGTTCTACTGCCGAGCTATATCCCCAGCCCCAGGCCACATGCTTTTTTTGGGGGTAAGATGGGGTACTCAGGGCCTTTTGCTGCTACACAGGCTCTCTACTACTTGAACCACACCCTGAGCACATGTGCTTTTCTGTGGGGTAGTCACTACTAAGTCACAGAAGAGGAGAGCAAAGCTCTGAGTTAAAGCCCGGCACTGGTGGCTCATGCCTATAATCCTAGCTATCAGGAGGCTGAGATCTGAAGATCACAGTTCAAAGCCAGCCTGGGCAGAAAAGGCCATGAGACTCTTATCTCCAATAAACCACCAGAAAACTGGAAGTGGTGCTGTGGCTCAAGTAGTAAAGCGCTAGCCTTGAGCTGAAGAGCTGAGGGACAGCTCCCAGGCCCAGAGTTCAACTCCTACCACCACCACCACCACCATCACCACCATCACCAACACCACCAACAAAGCTCTGCATTGACTAATGAGATTAGTTTGGTTAATAAATAGCAGAGCCAGGGGCTGGGAAGGTGGCTCAGTGGTAGAGCGCTTGCCTTGCATGCCTGAGGCCCTGGGTTCCATTCCTCAGCACCACATAAGCAAAAAAGAAAAAAAGCCGGAAGTGGCGCTGTGGCTCAAGTGGTAGAGCGCTGGCCTTGAGCTGAAGAGCTGAGGGACAGCACCCAGGCCCAGAGTTCAGGCCCCATGACCGGACCCCACCCAAAAAATAAATAAATAAATAAATAGCAGAGCCAGCCAGCCTGGAAGCTCAGGTAAGCTTGTTCAGAAGCAATGCTATCAAAAATCAAGAGATGGAGCCGGGTGCTGATGGCTTGTGCCTGTAATCCTAGCTACTCAGGAGGCCGAGATTTGAGGATTGTGGTTCAAAGCCAGCCCATTAACCATAAGAAAACCAGAAGTAGGGGTTGGGAAGGTGGCTCAGTGGTAGAGTGCTTGCCTTGCATGCATGAGGCCCTGGGTTCGATTCCTCAGTACCACATAGCAGAAAAAGCCAGAAGTGGTGCTATGGTTCAAGTGGTAGAGTGCTAGCCTTAAGGCTCAAAGAGGTAGAGCCTTAGCATTGAGTACAAAAGCTCAGGAATAGTGCCCAGAACCCAAGTTCAAGCCCCATGACCAACAAAACAAACAAAAACACAACTATGAGAAGGGGTGTATGGATCCTTTCCAGCTAGTAGAAGTCAGAGTTAGAGGCTGTCCCCAATTTCAGTGAGAAATTACTGCTCAACAGGGACAAGAAGGCATTCTGATGACCTTTGACACCTGTCTCTATAGCAAAAACTATGTCTAACACTTTTAAAGGGGAACTGGTTTGTCAGACATTTTGTTTCAAAGTGGAAAGGACACAAAACAAGTTGCCGAGGCTCTGATGGGAACAGAGACTGTGTCTCCAGAGGTGGTTGTCATGGGCCTCTGGGACACATATTCTGATGTTAGAGGAGACACAAGTCTCTGAGGGCTGAAGACAATGAGGGAACCCATAGTAGACACAAGTTCCAAGTTGCAAGTTACAGTTTCATATGACTCCTCCCTCCACATATTTTTCTTGGGATTAGAAAAAGAAGAAGTCTCATAGCTACTATTAATAAGAATGTTTTGGATCTTGGGTTTATTCTTAACAGGCAGAGCCTTGCTATGTTGTCCAGGCTGGGCTCAAAATTCTAGGCTCAGGTTATCCTTTTGCCTCAACTTCCCCAAGTAGCTAGGACTACTGGTGTATGCCACTGTACCCTATTTCTGACTATGTTTGAATAGATAATATGTTCAAATAGTCCTTTGAGATGTGCATCATAAAACCTCTCCCTCCAGGCTTCTCCTTAGCCACCCTGTTCTCTTTCCAGCTCCTTTCTTTCCAAAAGTCTTAGTTTCTTCTAAGTGTGGTCCAAGAGTCTAAGTTTCTTCTAAGTGTGGTGCTCCACACCTGTAATGCCAGCACTTAAGAAGGAGGATCGTGAGTTTAAGGCCAGTCTGGGATACAATAGTAAGACCTTGTCTTGTGTCCAAGCATCCATGGCATAACTCCAGTCACTGCTTGTGCTTTTCCACAGGATTCTCTTTGGACAGCGCCCATATTGGTGGGTCCTGGACACTGACTACTACCACAACAGCTCTGTGCCATTGATAAAGCAGTTCCCTGTCACCTGTGAGACGGGGCCAGGTGAGTGTCCCAGCCCTTGTTGTGACAGAAGCTGGGTGGACCTCCCTCAGTCTAGACACTACCATCTATTGTGGATGAAGTTGACTTAAGGGGACACGCAGATAGCTATGACTTCATACTGCTGTCACAGTCTTGCATGCATTGGATACAACTCCATTTTAATTCACATCAGCCAAACCTTTCTGGATAGCATGTTAGGCCACTTTGATGTGTCAAAGGCCCAAGTTACTAGTCCAACAGAGGCAAGGGTACCCCTGGCAGTGAAGAGCTTATGAGAGTAACTGGGTCATGGCCCTTTATCTGGAGAGGAGAAAGGAATAGAAGTCTGGGCTCTGGCTCTCCTCAACAGCTTGGCCCAGTGAATACATCCCCTGGGATGACCACTTAACCCCACACACTGCCAGACAGGAGGTACTGAGACAAATGCTAGATTACATTGTTCATTGGTAGTAGAGATATCCAATCCAGACCTTCCCCACAATTCTTAGCAGCAGCCTCCCTTCCTCAACACTTTCCCTGGCTCTCTGCTAGGAAGCATGCCATTGACGTAATTCAGGGCATATTCACTTATTCAGCTATTTGGGGAATATTTTTTTTTGTGTCAGTCCTGGGGCTTGAACTCAGGGCTTGGGCACTGTCCCTGAGGTTTTGTGCTCGAGGTTAGCACTCTACTATTGGAGCTATAACTCTACTTCTGGATATTTAGTGGTTAATTGATTATAAGAGTCTCAAGGACTTTTCTGGCCAGGGTTGGCTTCAAACTGCAATCCTCAGATCTCAGCCTCCTGAGTAGTTAGGATTACAGGAATTAGCCATGTGTGCACCCAGATTTATTCAAGGGATTTTTTTATTTTTTAATTTATTATTTTTTTTATTGTGAAAATACTGTACAGAGGGGTTACAATTACATGGACAAGATAATGAGTACATTTCTTATCAAGCATTGTAGCCTCCTCCTTTGTGGATTTTTTTTTGAGAGAGTCTCAATATGTAATTCAGACTGGCATTGAATTCCCAATTCTCCTGCCTTAGGCTCTCTGGAGTGCTGGGATAATAGGTATGCACTACTATACCTCACTCCAGCTAGTATTTATTAAACTATTATTTATCTACTAAGTTCCCTCCAGTGCTAGGGGTACTTTTATCAGCCACCAAAACAAATATTCCTGGTCCTGTGGAGCTGAAATTGAACGTAGGGCTGTAGGATACAGAAATCATATTAAGTAAGTAAAATAAGTAGGATATTAGGATATGATCCCTTATATTGAAGGAGGAGAAAAGGAAGAAAGAAGAAGGCTTTTCCTTAGAAAGCTGACTCCAGTGGATATGAGCAAGAATAAGAGCCATATTCATGGAAGGGAAGGGACACCTCAATAGGGTAGATGGCAAATTACAGTCATGATTCAGCCACCCAGTCATATACGGAGCTCTGAAACTGGGCTCTTTGGAGTTTATTTGAATGGGTCACCATTTTTTGGGTGCAGATTCTCCTAGAAAGATGGTAATCTTGATCTCCAGTCCAGAGAAATGCCCAGAAATGCTATCAACTGAGGGTCATCCACAACTATACTCATAACAGCTGGAAAATACGCCTTTCAGCCCTGGGGGGGGGGGGGGGGGGGGAGGGGAGGGTTCTAGTGGAACATCCCAGAGCCCTCTGGCCTTCAGAAGAGAAGACTCAAGATCAAGAACCAGCTGCTATGTTAAATAGGCTGGTCAGAAGCCACGTGCTGGTAGCTCTTACCTGTAATCCTAATTACTCAGGAGGCTGAGATCTAAGGATTGAAATTTAAAGCCAGTTTGGGCAGACACCGCCAAACGACTCTTCTTTTTTTTTTTTTTTTTTAACCAGTCCTGGGGCTTGAACTCAAGGACCTGGACACTGTCCCTGAGCTTTTTTTGCTCAAAGCTAGCAGTCTACTACTTGAGGTCACAGTTCCACTTCTGGCCTTTTCTGTTTATATGCTACTGAGGAATTGAATTCAGGGCTTCATGCATACTAGACAAGCCCTCTACCATTAAGCCATACCCCCAGACCCAAAATGACTCTTATCTCCAACAAAACATCAAAAAGCTAGAAGTCAGCCAGGCACCAGTGGCTCATACCTATAATCCTAGCTACTCAGGAGAATGAGATCTGAGGATCACAGTTCAAAGCCAGCCCCAGCAGGAATTATCTCCAATAAACCACCAGAAAAATGGAAGTAGTGCTGTGGCTCAAGTGATAGAGCGCTAACCTTGAGCTGAAGAGCTCAGAGACAGCACCCAGGCCCAAAAATTCAAGCCCCCAAGACTGTCAAAAAAAAAAAAAAGCTAGAAGCCAAAGTGTGGCTTGAGTGGTAAAGTGCCAAGTTTGTGCAAAAAAGCCAAGTAAGAGTTCCAGGCCCTGAGTTCAACACCCAGTACCAGCCCCCAAATAGGTAGTATGGCTCAAGTGGTAGAGCGCTTGCCAGGGACAGCACCCAAACACAGAGTTCAAGCCCCATAACTGACAAAACAAACAAAACCTCAAAAAAACCTAGAGCCAGCCTAGGGCGCTGGTGGTTCATGCTTGTTATCCTAGCTGCTCAGGAGGCTGAGATTTGAGACTGTGGTTCAGTCTGGGCAGGAAAGTCTGTGAGACTCTTACCTCCAATTAACCACCAGAAAACCAGAAGTGGCACTGTGGCTCAAAGTGGTAGAGCACTAGCTCTTCTGCTCAAGGACAGCTCCCAGGCCCAGAGTTCGAGCCGCATGACGGACAAAAAAATCTAGATAGATAGATAGATAAACTAGCCAGACTAAGCTCCTTGAAAAGTCTAGCTGGAGGAGGCAAAGTTGTTGGGCAGGGAAATTCCGAGAGGATAGCAGTGTAATGGCCCTGAGGTAAGAGCATGTTGTATATGTTTAAAGGAGAGTAATGATGCCAGCACAGCCAAAGCAGAGTGAGCCTAGGGAAGGGAAGAGAAGAGAAGCAATGGTGGGCATATCAGTGAGCAACTGCACATATACTATGCTGATTCTCTGTGTGATCATCAGATTGTATGCTGTTACAAAAACAAGGAGCTTCTTTGGCTTTGCCTACCATTGCACTTACAGCCTATGCAGAGCTTGGCATAGGAGTTCATCTGGTACTTGTAGGCTAAATGGATAGATAAATGGATAGAAGGATGGCTAGACAGATGCCTGATCACTGTGTAGATAGTACCCCTTGGTAGTCCCTCAGATGGAGACCTTTCATCTTTAGCCCCTGCATCTCTTTCCCACTCTATAGGGAGTCCTTCTGGCCATGCTATGGGTGCAGCAGGCGTGTACTACGTGATGGTCACATCTACCCTCACCATCTTTCGGAGAAAGAAGCCGACATACCGATTTCAGTAAGAACTCACTGTTGGGATGTGGGTGCTGGAGGGTATGAGATGGCTGTCTCTGTAGCTGACGTGCTGCTTGTTTTTCCCCCACATTCCCTAGCTTTGTTCTCACACCTCAGGTTGGCACTGATAAAATGCTGAGGTTAAACATAGAGTCAGAGAATATGTTTGTTTCATACAAGGAAAATAGGCCTAACAGCATGAAGGAGCTCTAAACATTAGGTGATGAAGAATATGGAAAGATATCCCATGTTCATGGATCAACATAAGTAATAGTATGAAAATGGCTATACTACCAGCAGCAATCTAAAGACTCGATGCAATCTTCACCAAAGTCTCAATGCCATTCTTCATAGATATAGTAAAGTCAGTTCTAGAGCTGGGTACCAATGCCTCATCTGTAATCCTAGTTACTCAGGAGGCTGAGACCAGAGGATTGTGGTTTGGAGACAGCTTAGGCAGAAAAGTCAGAGAGAGTTCATCTCCTCACCAGTAAAATGTTGACTATGACCAGGAATAGAGCATAAGCCTTGAAAAAACTGCCAAGAAAGATCTTAAGGCCCTGAGTTCAAGCTCCAGCATCAACACACACACACACACACACACACACACACACACACACACACACACACAAATAAAGTGGGAAGAAGAGAGGATATGTATAATTAATAAATGTTAATAAAATTAAAATGCATATCTATAGTACAATATTATATATATATATACACAAATATACTATTATACAATTAGTATAAAAAATTAGTAGGGACAAGTAAGTTCAAGTTGAAAATAAAAACTGTCTGGTACTGCCTGGCTCATACCTGTAATCCTAGCTACTCAGAAGGCTGAGATTTGAGGATTGTAGTTCAAAGCCAGCCCAGGAAGAAAAGACTGTGAGACTCTTATATCCAATAAGCTACTCAAAAAAAAGCCTGAAGTGGAGCTATGGCTCAAGTGATAGAGTACTAGTCTTGAGGAAAAAAAAGAAAAGCTCAGGAACAGTGCCCAGCCTCTCAGTTCACTCCCCAGGACTGGTACTACTACTACTACTACTACTACTACTACTACTACTACTACTGCTGCTGCTGCTGCTGCTGCTACTACTGCTACTAAATACTGAGGAAATTTAAGAGGAAAAAAGTCAGTGCAGTCACTGAGTTGCAGTACCGCCATGTGCAGCGCCCTTGCTTCCTGATGCTCCATCCGCCACCTCACTGGTTTTCCCCACAGCTGCCTTCCACAGGCCATTTCTACAAAGGGAAAGAAATTGTACTGTTGTGTCGACTATCCAGAACTTTCACTGTTTTCACCACTTTGCTGAAGCCAGTAAGATGATGGCCTGATTCCTCTTGGCACTGAGGATTATAGCCATATAAAATTCAACAGAGAAAACTAGAAAAACCCTTAAAACTGCCCAAGAATTGCTGATGATTATGATTTAAAAAAATGCTACTGAAGTCATTGAAGAAGAAATCTGTGAGTCAGTCACTAGTGGCTCATCCCTATAATCCTAGATACTCAGGAGGCTGAGACTTGAGGATCACAGAAGCCAGCCCAAGGCACCCCCTACCCAAAAAAAAAAATCCATGGGATTTTTTTTTTATCCTACCAAAAAATAGAAATGGAGATCTGGGTCAAGTGGTAAAGACCAGCCTTGAGTAAAAAAGCCAAAAGAAAGTGCAAGGCCCTGAGTTCAAGTCTGTTTCAGCACAAAAAAAGTGGAAGGAGGAAGAGAAAGAGGAGAAGGAGGAAGAGGAGGAGGAAAGAAGGGAGATGGAGAAGGAGAAGATGCAGCAGCTGTGCACTGGTGGCTCATGCCTGTAATCCTAGCTACTCAGGAGGCTGAGATCTGAGGATCACCCTGGGAGGAAAGTCTGTGAGCCTCTTATCTCCAATTAACCACCAGAAAACTGGAAGTGGTGTTGTGGCAAAAAGTAGTAAAGCATTAGCCTTCAGCAGAAAAGTTCAGGGACAACACCTAGTCCCTGAGTTCAAGCCCCATGACTGACCAAAAAAAAGGAGGAGGAGGAGGAAAAGGTGCACACACATACAAACACAAATCTACTTCAAATCACCTAGGTTTGCCAGGTTCCAGGGCTATTTTCTTCTCTGATGTATCCACATCTGTGTTCTATTATGGTTGACTAATACATTTGTTGTTGTTTGCAGGTGCTTGAATATCATCCTATGGTTGGGATACTGGGCTGTGCAGTTGAATGTCTGTCTGTCACGGATCTACCTTGCAGCTCACTTTCCTCACCAGGTTGTGGCTGGCGTCCTGTCAGGTATGAACTGCTCTGACTCCCTCTCGCCCAACTTACTATTTATCCCCAATCAGAATATAACCCCAGGCATGTCCTACATACCCACAATGCTATTAGAACTTCAGCAGATGCAAGTCAAGGGCAGGTGATTTGAAATGATTAATCTCTATTAGCAGATCTATATATTAAGTGTGTTCCTGAAATATTGTAACAGCTCTTCAGCTCAAGGCAAGTGCTCTACCACTTAAGCCACAGCACAACTTCTGGTTTTCTGATGGTTTATTGGAGATAAGAGTCTCACAGACTTTCCTACCCTGGCTGGCTTTGAACCATGATCCTCAGATCTCAGCCTCCCAAGTAGTTAGGATTAGAGGCGTGAGCCCCTCCCTCCCTCTCCCTCCCTCCCTTCCTCCCTTCATCCCTCCCTCTCTCCCTCCCTCCCTCCCTCCCTCCCTTCCTCCCTTCCTTCCTTCCTTCCTTCCTTCCTTCCTTCCTTCCTTCCTTCCTTCCTTCCTTCCTTCCTTCCTTCCTTCCTCCCTTCCTTCCTTCCTTCCTTCGTCCCTCCCTTCCTCCCTTCCTCCCTTCCTCCCTTCCTTCCTTCCTTCCTTCCTTCCTTCCTTCCTTCCTTCCTTCCTTCCTTCCTTCCTTCCTTCCTTCCTTCCCCTCTGAGGGGTTTCATGTAGAAATAGGAGCACTGACCCCAACAGGAAGCTTAAATATGGTAGGAGTTGTGATATGACTGGGGCCTGAACTCAGGACCTTGTGCTCGTGCTGAGATTTTTTGCTGAAGGCTGGTGCTCTACTACTTGAAGCATACCTCACTTCCAGCTTTTTGCTAGTCAACTAGAGATAATAGTCTCACAGATTTTTCTGCTTGGGCTTGTTTAGAACATCAATCCTCAGATCTCAACCTCCTGAGTAGCCAAGATGACAGGTTCCATCAACCTATAGAACTGAGCTACAGAGCTGGGCGCCGGTGGCTCACGCCTGTAATCCTAGCTACTCAGGAGGCTGAAATCTGAGGATCACGGTTCAAAGCCAGACTGGGCAGGAAAGTCCATGAGACTCTTATCTCCAATAAACCACCAGAAAACTGGAAGTGGCTCTGTGGCTCAAGCAGTAGAGCACTCGCCTTGAGCTGAAGAGTGCAGGGACAGCGCCCAAGCCCAGAGTTCAAGTCCCACAACTGACAAAAAAAAAAAAAAAAAAAAAAGAACTAAGCTACCAGCACCCAGCTATAATGACTCTTCCATCTAAGAGGCTCTGCTGAGGATATGTTGAAGTTGCAAATAGTATCTGTGATTTTATTCCACAATACAGGATGGATGGCATGTCACCCATTGCTCGAAATCCACCTCTATTGAATGCCCAGAATCATCCTTTTCTTTGTATTTGTTTTTGTGCTGGTACTAATGCTTGAACTTGGGGCCTGAGTGCTGTCTCTTAAGCTTTTCACTCAAGGATGGTGCTCTACCACAGTTGTGCTCTGAGCCACAGCTTCAGTTCCAGCTTTTTGGTGGTTAATTGGAAATCAGAGTCCCACAGATTTTCCTGCTCAGGCTGACTTTGAATGTTGATTCTCAGATCTCAGGCTCCTGAGTAGCTGAATATAGGTATGAACTTAGCTTCCTCTCTTTCTTACAATCATTCTTTCTTCTGTTTAGGCATTGCTGTTGCTGAGACCTTCAACCACATCCAGAGCATCTACAGGGCCAGTCTCAAGAAATATTTTTTCATTACCTTCTTCTTGTTCAGCTTTGCCATTGGATTTTACCTGCTGCTTAAGGGGCTGGGGGTGGACCTCTTGTGGACTGTGGAGAAAGCCAAGAGATGGTGTCAACAGCCAGAATGGGTCCATATTGACACTACACCCTTTGCCAGCCTCCTCAAAAACCTGGGGACCCTCTTTGGCCTGGGGCTGGCTCTCAACTCCAGCATGTACAAGGAGAGTTGCAAGGGAAAATCCAGCAAGGCGCTCTCATTCCGTCTCAGCTGTATCGTGGTCTCCCTTGTGCTCCTGCACCTCTTCGACTCTTTGAAACCCCCCTCCAAAATCGAGCTGATCTTCTATGCCTTGTCCTTCTGCAAGAGTGCCACAGTGCCGTTGGCCTCTGTCAGTCTCATCCCCTACTGCCTTTCCCGGTTCCTGGGCCAGTCACACAAGAAGTCTTTGTAAAGCATTACGGAGTCTCAAGTGTTTAAAAGTCAGTGACTGCCAGAAATTTAGAGGGGATCAGAGGTCGCCTGCAGCCCATTCTGAGGGCAGACGTGTGAAAGTCAGCTCAGGTGACTTTCAGATCCTAATGCTATTGGATGATGGTTTACTGTTTGTTTAAAAGCTAATGAGGACACTGGACTCTTAGAAGTTGGGTCATTCTGGATTTTTCCCTGAAGACCTACTTAACTTATTCTCCAGTCAGATATACAAAAGCGAGACTTCCAGAGAGAGAAAGCAGCTCACAAGTCCAACTGAGAATTTCCTGCCTGTGCTTAGCCTTGCCAGGGAAAGGAGAAAGGCAGAGTGCATTTGGTAAGGAGGAAAAGGTGGATCGAGGAGGAGTTTTTAGTATTTTTCATATATCATGCAAAATATGTGCCAAGTGATCACTCACATAAGTTCAATTATGTTTCTTTTAAGGCTTTTTTTTTTGCCAGTCCTGGGGCTTGAACTCAGGGCCTAGGTGCTGTTCCTGAGCTTCTTTTGCACAAGGCTAGCACTCTACCACTTGAGCCACCGTGCCACTTCCAGCTTTTTCTGTTTATGTGGTACTGAGGAATTGAACCCAGGGCTTCATGTATGTTAGGCAGGCATTAGACCACTAAGTTACATTCCCAGCCCTCTACCTTATTTTTGTGTACATACTGAGGCTTGAACTCAGGGCCTGGAGCTCTGGCTTGGCTTTTTTGCTAGAGGCTTCTGCTCTGCCACTTGAGCCATATCTCCACTTCCAGTTTTCTGCTGGTTAATTAGGCATAAAAAGCTCACTGATTTTTCTGCCCAGGCAGGCTTTGAATTTCCAATCCTCATCTTAGCCTCCTGAGTTGCTGAGTGTACAGAAGTGAGCTACCAGTATCGAGTTTTTCAATTATATTTGAATCCTTTTATGTATACTCTCAATAATGGTGGGCCAATTTAAAGTATAATCTATAGGCAATTAGTGGGGTGATTCTGCTTTTGGTATTTTTCTACTCAACTCAAATGGTCAGGATACTTAGATTTCTGAGTAGTTGCAGTGATGGAGAACTTGTCAGAATATTCAGGCATCCTTGACTCCTACTGTATTATATTACATCTTCCTCTGCACCCACCCAGTTCTGCTTTCTCCTAGAATTTTCCACTGGCTCCTCAGTCACCCTTTGGATCCTCAGATGCCTAAAGGGCAACTCTCTGGTGGTGCTTTTGTATGTTTCAGTTCCACTCTGAAATTTGGGACAAAATGGTAAGGAGAGGGCCAGGATTCCTCTCTTTAGAAGGTCACTCCAATGTTACCTTTGATTTCTGGAGGGTAACTATGACTCCTTTCTCAATCCCAACCAAGCACGAGCACATTCTCAGAGGAAAGCCCCAACCAAGCATGAGCACATTCTCAGAGGAAAGCCCCAACCAAGCACGAGCACATTCTCAGAGGAAAGCCCCACTCCTCCATGCCCGTTCTCTAGTCTCAGCTGATTTGCAGAGTATGTCTTGGGGGGAAAATGCTCACCTATTTATTTGAGCCTTGTTTTTGCTACTCATGATATATACTACCATTGTATTATCATTTGCACCAACCATCCTGCAGCTAACAACTTTGAAAAATATATAATATATACAGTATTTTATTAAAACATTTTATTTAAGAATGAAGTCTTGTTTATCATTTTAGATGCAACAAGTTCTAAGTTTAGAGATCTTTCTCTGTTTTCCTAAACAAATTATTTGGCTCCTCTGTACCTTCATTCATCATTCATTCATTCCATTCATTTACTGGGCAAGCACTAGGGCTTGACTTAGAGGTCTCAGGTTCTCGCTTAGCTTGTTCACTCAAGGCTGGTGTTCTAATGTTTGAACCAGCCTCCACTTCTAGCTTTCTGGTGGTCAATTGGAGATAAGAATCTCACAGACTTTCCTGCCCCCAGCTGGTTTCAAACCATGGTCCTCAAAAATCTCAGCCTCCTGAGTAGCTAGGATTATAGGTGTGAGTCACCAGTGGCCTGGCTACATTTCTTATAGAGAAGGAAAACTGAAGTTGTCCAGGACTTCCAACAGGGGTACAGAGACTTCTAAGGCATGCATGGGGCCTGAGTTGAGCATTTCAACATGGGCTTAATATTGGCATAGACTGTTACCACACACAGGCTCCATTTGCTCGCTGCTCCATGCAAGCCAATTAGTTAAAAGATTGAGGCACTCCAAGAGAAAGAACATTATTATTATAAGCCAGCTGAAAAAAGAAGAAAGAAAAGAGAAGAAAAAAAAAAGAAAGGAAGGAAAGAAGAAAAGAAAGGAAGGAAAGAAAGAAAGAAAAAGAGCCAGGCGCCGGTGGCTCACGCCTGTAATCCTAGCTACTCAGGAGGCTGAGATCTGAGGATCGAGGCTCAAAGCCAGCCAGGGCAGGAAAGACCGTGAGACTCCTATCTCCACTAAACCACTAGAAAACTGGAAGTGGTGCTGTAGCTCAAGTGGTAGAGCGCTAGCCTTGAGCTGAAGAGCTGAGGGACAGTGTCCAGGCCCAGAGTTCAAGCCCGATGACCAACAAAGAAAAAAAAAAAAAAGAAAAGAAAAGAAAGAAAAGAAGAAAGACACCCTTAGGTTTGGAGGTGTGGTTCAGTTGGTAGAGCACCAGCTGATGAGCAAAAGTGTCAGGGTCTGAGTTTGAGTTCCAGTCTCTGACTTAAAGGAAAAAAGATCCAGCTGTGATCAGAGAACGGCAGCCTATCAGGCCATCTTCCTCGGAGGCTGATGTAGATGCTGTGCATGAAGAAGGCTGGCCACAGACTGGTGGGTGCCTTCTCACAGGTGGAAGCTTGTGGCCAAATGACACACCTCTAATTGCCAAGTTCTAAGTTCTGCAACTCTCAAGAACGAAGATCATTTGTTTTATGCCTTTTGTTTTTGGTGTCAATATTGGGGCTTGAACTCAGGCCTAGCTACTGTCCCTTAGCTATTGCACTCAAAGGCTGGTGCCCTGCCACTTGAGCCACAGCTTCAATTCTGGCTTTGCTTGTGTGTGTGGTTAATTGGAGATAAAGAGTCTCAACAGACTTTCCTGGCTAGTCTGGCTTCCAACTATGATCTTCAGACCTCAGCCTCCTGAGCCACCCACCCGTAGCCTGCTCCTGGGGTTATTCTTGTCACTGAGTATTTTGCGCTTGTGAAGTTCCTGATAAATGACTCGGTGGATATTGAGATTTCCTACTGATACCAAACTCACCATAATGAAAGAAAACACTTCACCTGGTTATTTTGGAAGACAAGGATCAGATGAGGTTAAAAATCAAGTCAGGCAGAAGATCTGGTCTCAATGCTTGGCTTCAAAACCAAACAGATAAAGTGTTGGGCCAAGACTGAACACTGGTTAGCAGACCACAGGTCAGCGTGAATGGCCCTATGGGATCAAATCGCAGTTTGAAGGGTCGCCGCCAAGTGAAACAATCAGGGCATGTGAGTCACAGAGCAGAACAAGACCCAGCTGACTCCAATCACAAACCCAGTATCAACAAGGCTTGCAGCTCTAGGTAAACAAAGTCTAAATAAAGCATCTGAACGCTGGGAATGTGGTTCAGGGGTAGGGTGCTTGCCTAGCTTGCATGAAGCCCTGGGTTTGATTCCTAAGAACCACATAAACAGAAAACGCTGAAAGTGGCACTGTGGCTCAAGGGGTAGTGCTAGCCTTGAGGGGAAAAAAAAAAAAAAAAAAAAAGCAGCAGCAGCAGCAGCAGCTCAGGGACAGTGCCCAGACCCTGAGTTCAAGCCCCAGGACTGGCAAAAAAAAAAAGGTTATGAGCTGGGTGCTAGTGGCTCACACCTGTAATCCTAGCTACTCAGTAGGCTGAGATTTGAAGATCATGGTTCAAAGCCAGCCAGGCAGAAAAGTCTCTGTGAGACTCTAATCTCCAATTAACCACTCAAGTGGTACTGTGGCTCAAAGTGGTACAGCACTGAGCAAAAGAAGCTTAGGAGTGCCCAGGCCCTGAGTTCAAGCCCCAGGACTGACACGCACACAAAAGTTAAGACTCTTATCTCTAATTAACCAACAAAAAGCCAGAGGGCAAGCCATATCTCAAAAGGTAGAGCACCAGCCTTGAGTGCCAAATGCTATGGAAGAGATTAAACACACACACACACACACACACACACACACACACACACACACACACACACACACACACACGGTAGGGGTGGGGGCATATAGCACCAAAGACTACCCAAGGAATCCTGTTTACAGAGCCTACCTCCAAGGCCTGAATTTTTTGAGGCCAAGGAAAAACCTAGAACACCTGAGGCGAGATCTGTTTACCCTGACTCTTGGAATAAAGATTGAACTCTCTTACTAGACTGATTCTTTAGAAGAGGGGCCTAAGCCTCTAAGCGTCTAATGGTCCCAGCAAATGAGAAAGGAAATATCTTCCACCTGTCAGAATTGCAGCCCAGAGCTCAAGCTTGGGCTTCCTGGATACTCCATTTGTTCTCAGAAATCAAGTTCCTTTGCAAGAGGATTTCTGGCAGAAAGTAAAAAAAAAAAAAAAAATGCCCTTGGGCTGGGAATATGGCTTAATGGTAGAATTCTTGCCTAGCATTTATGAAGCCCTGGGTTCAATTCCTTAGTACCACATAAACAGAAAAGGCTGGAAGTGGCACTGTGGCTTAAGTGTAGAGTGCTATCCTTGAGCAAAAGAAGTTCAGGGACAGTGACCAGGCCCTGAATTCAAGCTCCAGGAATGACAGAAAAAAAAAAAGTCTCACAAATAACAAATTTTCCTGCCTGGGCTAGCTTTGAACCACAATCCTCAGATCTCAGCCTCCTGAGTAGCTAAGATTACATAAGCCACTAGCTCCTGGCCACATACCTAATTAGATAGAACTTTTAATTCAGACTAGGGAGGATATGATTTTTTTTTATTGAGAAGCAGCATTTGGGTTACTAGGTTGATATAACTCTTTCCCCTCCCCCCCCCCCCCCCTTCATTCTGGCGCTTA